ATGAAATTTCATGCAACAATACTTATCAAGACCCTAATGTGAGCCATGAACTCTTCCAGGTGCTACAGATGAGTGAACAAGACGAAGTCCCTGCCCTAGTGGAAGTGAGATTCTATCAGGGAAAGATAGACAAATTCTTACCCAAAAAATAGATATCTAATAAGAAAACTAAAGCAGATTAAAAATATACATGATAGAGACCCTTATCTTATATAAGCTTCAGGTAAGGCTTCTCTGAGGAAGTGACATTTGCACAGGGACCTAAATGAACAGTGGAAACAAGCAGTTTGAATATCTGGAAAGAGCCTCCCAAGCAGAGGAAGAGCAAGTACATGGGCCATTTTTCATGTATTTATATGCACACAAAGCCGTTTATGACCATTCCTTTGAACAAATATGTACATAATATTAATAATAGAAAAGACAGGTTGCTAAGAACAAGACAGATACTGTCCCTGTGACTCAGTCTAGCAGCAGTGTCAGAAATTTCACAAATAACTTTAAGTAATTATTCAATCATAATTCTGATGCTGAGGAGGAAAAAAAAAAAAGACAGGCACTAGGAGAACACATAATGAGTTGGCCTAACCTACTCTGGGAAGGACAGGAAAGGCTTCCCTGAGTAAATGACTACTTGATATCTAAAGGATAACTAGCAAGATAGAAGTATGGCTGGAGAACATACAGTAAGAGGGAAAATGAGATAAGCCAGAAGAATCGGGAGGGGATGGGGGAAATATATTCCAGCAGCTCCCCATACAGAATGGCATCTTGACATCTATGACCTTCCAGCAGCCTTTGAAGACAAAAAGTCATCTTCAACCTAAAACTGTACACCTTCTACTTTTATTTTGCCACAGTCCCCCACAATAACCGTGGATTAGCTTACAGTGTGTTTCTTCTAAATATGATTCATCTTCACATGACCTTGGTTACGACTCCTGGATTTCTGTTCAACTCTCAAATGGTAAGCGCTATTTTTTATTTTCCGCATGAGTTTCACAAAGGAAAATTGTATCTTTAATTTAAAAAAAAAAAAACCCCAATATCTCAAGGCCACATTAATGACTGAGCTATTCAATAGCTTTGTAGATTTTTTTGGTCAAAAGTTATCACGGTTTTCCATGAAAAGCCAAAAAATAGCCTTGATGTATTTTTTTCTTGTGACAGTTTTATATATATTTTTAGGCTAGATGTAAGAATTTAAGAATGAAAGGCAATATATCTACTATATTAAATATCTTCTCTTTCCTAAAGCCTTGACATTTCACCCACCTTCCCCCACTCTCAGCTTATGACTTGCTCTCTAGATCACCAAGAAAACAGGAAAAGACAACAAAGTCTAAGTCCTCCCACCACATCTATTAATCTATCTGCAACTGTATCCACATTCTTTGTCTATCCTCCCATCCCTGTGGATGCACTATCCATACTCCCCGCCAAGGTCAACTTCAATACCACTAGTGCCTTAGGTCCCATCCACCCTCACTCCAGCTGGCATTGCCTTTTTCTCTCTACTGAATCACTCCCATTCCCATATCAATGTTAGGTAGACAGCTTGGGACCTCCGGCCCCTCCTGTGCCATACCTGGGGAGGAAGGGACACCCTATGAATCTGCCAGTAAGAACTTAGTGTGCCAACTACAAAAGAATGCAGAGAACTCTAGCCCATGGGCCAAGCAGCATAGGTACAATAGAGTCTGGAGAATGACCTAGAACTGGCTTTCAGAGAGGCTCGTGGGAGATCCGCATGTATAGTAAGACTCAGGTCATATAACTCCCAACTGTCCATCAAAGTGGTTCCATGGTGATGTCTGAGCCACGAGGGAGGTCCCTATCCGTACACTATAAAAGACCCAGATCATAACCAAGGTCTCTCTTTTGCTATGACAAGGGGTCCATCCGGTCATCATCTGTGGCGTATGTATCTTGCTCTGTAAACCTATATCTTGTTTTCTCTCTATAATCCTGTCTTGCTCCCCCTTCAATAAATTTCACCTCATGCTTGCCTTACTTTGGTGTGTCTGCTCATTCTTTGGCCAAGAGCACACCAAGAACCAAGAACATAGAAAGCGATTGCCAAACCTGACAAACATGCTATTATATCATCTACCTTAAAGAATAATGAAACTCTTAATCTATAACTGCTTTCAGCGACCCCTTCCATTTATTTCTCTGCTCAATATACATGAAAGTTCCTCCAGAAATTGGCACTATTCTCTCTTAAATAAATTCCAACCAGGTTTTCATATCTACTACTCCCCTCAAGTATGGGTGACCTCACATTGCTAAGGCTTATGGCTTAAGTTTTCAGTGCTTTTAACCCCTATGCAACATTTAACACAGTTGTTCAATCATTCTTAAAGCACTTTCTTCACTAGCCTTCTGGGACATATTACCCTCTGATCCCTAGGGCCACTCTTCTATCCCCACAGCTAAATTTTCCTCACCTCCTGTTGCAGGCTAAATAATGCACTGGATAAGCTGCTCTAACTTACATTTCATTGGGAATTTTTCCTCAAGCCCACTATCCAAAATTACTCAAATATGCAAACAAATAGCAGTAAAGCTAAGTACAGAAGAGTTTCCAAAACAAAACAAAGGTAATCCAATAACATTAATGAATTACATGATTTTTTTTTTTTAAAGTTACTTACCTTCAACTAAAATTTTAATTTGCGAAATGTCTAAGGAGCTGAGCGGAAAACTTACCATAGCAGACCTTAAAAAAAACTGCTTACAAGGCAGGCCCTTCCGTTATCATGTGAGAGTTCCCTGGTAAGAATGGTTCACTGTGCCTAGACTATTTGCATAAACAATAAGGTTTACACTGAATACCTACTTTCCTTCTGGGGATCTAGAATTTTTGCACATATTAAATACTAGGCAGAGGATATCTGTACGATCTGCCCAACATCTTGGGTGCTTAATCTCTGATGGTCTTCCCTGGATAGAAACATTACATATGTGAACTAAAATAAAATCTTAAGCCTTCCCAGGTTACTGAACGGACAACCTCTTGGCCAAGGGGATCTCAGAAAAATCCTAAAGCTGAATTACTAGCCATGAGAAGGGAGGTCAGACATGCCTCCTCATGCCTCCCTCCCTTTTTAGAGTTATTTTTTGTAACGGAAAGATATAAAATCATTAACAAGTATGAGGCCATGTAAGACAAAGGTTAAGCCACATCTTCAGGTCATCAGTTTACTTAACAGATCACTTGAGTCTGAGTGTATGTCCAGTATATGTCTGGTGGCTTGTCTCTGATTAACAGACTTCCTTAACTTAAAACATTACAAGCCTTTAGACAAAGCTTCATTTCTTAAACGAATTATAAATCAAAGAATCTTTAAACCCACCTATAACCTGTAATCCCCTGCTTCAAGATGCCCTGCCTTTTTGTGCCAAACCAACATATGCTTTCCAAGTACTGATTCGTGACAGGCACTTTACATGTAATTCCTGTCTCCCTGAAATGTATAAAACCAAACTGTAACCCAACTGCAGGAGACCACTTGCTTAAGACTTCTTAGGCATGGTCCTCAGGCCATGGTCAAAAATTTTGGCTAAGAATAAACCTCTTAAAATTACTTCAGAGAGCTTGGGTTCTATGCTGTTGACACATACATGTTGCTGCATTCTCATTGCTAGGGGGAAGGGTAAGCTTTGTGTGACCCTTCAGAGGAGGGAAAAAGCATAAGGACGCCTGCAAATGGATTCCTCAAGACTCTGCCTGTGTCTTTCTCTTCTGAGCCAGCTGTGCATCCTTCATACTCCATTGTAATAAATCTTAGCCTTGAGTACAGCTGTATGCTGAGTCCCATGAGTCCTTCTAGAATTCTTCAAATGTAGAAGTGGTTTGGGGAACCACTGACATAATAGCAGCTTATTCTAAAAGCCAGGATTCTTACCTGCTGATATGCTTCATAGATCACATCAAATAGAAAAGCCTGCGGCATTTCACTTGCTCTGTGCATGGCACGTTCTAGCGAGTGGTCTAAGCAACCATCAGCAGATGGACTGATGACAGTAGATACAAGAGGTCGAATTGCTCCTGCTGCCTAAAGAACAAAAAGAAGGCAATTAGTGTTTATTTCACAAAGAGTATTTTAAAGTGAAGCTCTGAAATCTGTATCTCATTTTTGAAAGTACATCTTACTCATACAATCTACCTCAAGAGAATCTGAACAAGTGTTTGGTTCACAATTCAAATTATTTCAGGTCAAAAAAAAAAAATCAATTTCATAGTGTTACAGATCTATACACTAAGAGGTGAAAATTGTTTTTTATCATAGGCTCAAAATCCTTCTCACCACAGGTCACTGAGGTCAATACTAAAAAAGGATGTGAATATACAATTGGGTATACCCTGAAACAAGAAGGAAAAGACTATTGTAAAATAATTGAAATGGATTACAAATTAATATTTACTCATTAGTATGCCTTTGTAAGATTTACACATTAAATAATTAAGGGAACAAACAAGTTCTCCAAGATCCTCAAAATGAGGCTCAACAACCTAAATAACCATGAATTTATGTCTTGCTCTAATTCATGTGAAAAACAATTCCTTTCAAACAGACTCCATGAAATGTTTCCTCAGGCAAAATATCCATTGATTTCAACTGCTGCGATGAAAACTCTGTCTCATTAATAGATACATTTAAACTTTATTTAAAAAGAGAGTGGTTCATGTCTGACAATTGTTCCCTTTACTTTTAATGGAGTCTCATTGTAATGCAGTCCTGAAGGTCATTGCCCCACCACTACCTTGGTAAAGTTGCCTAAAAATAGGGTTCTATAGTAGGCATTTAACCAAATCATCTTATATTGACTCCAAAGTTTCCTTTCTTCCACACAATTACTACATGGGAGTTGCAGCACATGAAGCTAATACACAAATAGAACAAGTGTTATCCTGAGACCAACATCTGAGCTAGATAAACCGTCCACACTTTGGTTTACAAAATCCAAGGGATTGGCTGAAAATCAAAGCTACTGGATGAGCCAAGTAGACAGTTTACAAATCATGTCACCATTTCCAATGCCTCAAGTAGAAATGCGGAGCCTGGACATAAAAGCGAAAATGAGGAGACAACCAGGGGTGACAAAAAGGGAGTAGTGTCCAAGTATGTGAAAGGCAAGTAGGGAGCAAGCCCAACTGGTCAAGTCTAACACCTACCAGTAGGAGTTGGAGGACAAGACAGGAAAGAAACATGGGTATACACACAAACGTGCACTGCTTTTCAACAGAGTTAAATTTCCATTGCAACTACGTATAGGTACTATTGGAATTCTGTGCCAGGGCATGAAGTAAAAAAATATTTAAAAGAGAACATGAGGCACCCAAAACGGCAGTGTAAGGAACTCCACAGACTCTCTCCCCAGTGAGAAAACTAGTGAAAAGTATTTTAAAAAACAACCATTCAACACTTCTGAAAATTGTCCCAAGGGCATTCAGCAAATGAATAAACATTTGTTCAAGAAAATCTATTAAATCTTAGTGGGAACTGAGTACTCGAGCCATGACCTGGTTCTTCTTTCATCCACCACCCAGCTCAGTGTAATGGAAGTTCTACTTGGGGTAGGTATGGCTGAAAAGATGGGGGCCCTTCTCCCCCAGACTCCTAGTGGGAGGGGAAGAGTGCATTTTCCATCCTCCTCAGCACTATAGTACAGAGGCTGAAATACAGATAAGTGTAGCCAAAAGGTTGTGCTCCTCCAGCCCCCCTACATAACTTCCCTCCCTCCAGAGATCTGCCCCAGACATGGTAGGCTGTGAATACTAGGGCCCTCATCACCCTTTTTGCAGCTCACACATAAGGCAGAATTTTCCATGCCCGAATAAGAGACAAAAATAGAACACCAAAGTCTTCTACTGCCCCATGTCGTGCCCTAATCACGAAATAGGAGTGTCACTCCAAGAAAAACAGTACGCCATGCCCACTCACAGCTTCAAAGCAGCAATGTGATGATTCTTCATAGAGGGAGAAAAGATCTGAGATAGAGAGCTATGAAGCAAACCCCAAGGGAACTTAATTTATTTGGAACAGAGTATGGGGAAGTTTAAGCCCAAATGTACTCTCAAAAAAAAAAAAAAAGAGAGAGATTATCATGGTAAACAATTAAGAGGAGTTGGCTGGTAGCTACATGAGAGCAAAAAGCTAAGGCCAGCTAGCTTACCAGCGAAAGCCAGAGGAAAATATAGCTAACAAGAGCTCTTCTGGAATTAAAACACATCTCAAATACTGGCCTCAAAAACTACCCCACAAAAGGGCTAGAATTTGACTGAATCAGACTGTACAGGGATTTATGCCCAGGCATTGTCAAAAATAAAGTTGAGCAATTAAGCAGGCAATGTGTGATGTTTAACAGCTAGGTGTGAAACCAAAAAAGCAGCAGTAGACAGATCAGGGAAGGAGACAATCAAAGACAGCCCTGCTAAAAGCACTGTCATCCCAAGGTGATTATGCAAATATGCAAGTCTCCACCCTCTGAAAAGTAGCATCAGAAGCTTTTCCCTGTAGAAGAAAAAGACTTCTCTAAAACAGACCAGCCAAATCACAAAGAAGCAAACAACAATAAATCCCAGGTAGCTAGAAGGGAGAGAATTAGTATCTGGAACTGGATTTTATATAAACATTACGTAAAATATCTCATTTCAACAATAAATAATAACCACAAGACATGCATCCAAAGAGGAAAATATGACCTATACATAAGGGTGGGGGTGGGGAGAAGCAGGCAACAGAACCCACCTATAAGAGGGCCCAGATGTCAAACTTAGCAGATAAAGACTTCAAATCAGTATATGTGTGTGTGTGTGTGTGTGTGTGTGTGTGTGCGCGCGCGTATTCATTCAAGAACTAAAGGAAATCATGTCTAAAGAAGTACATGTAAGATGTGGCAGTATCATCAGTATTAAGATTTTGTTTTAAAAATAAACAAATCGTAGAGTTGAAAAGTATAACTAAGACAATTTACTAGAGGAGCTCAATGATAGGTTTGAACTGGCGAAGACTCAATGAACTTGAAGTTAGATCAACAGCGATAATGCAATCCAAAGAACAGAGAGAAAAAGAAAAGAAAAATGAACAGAGCCTCAGATAGCACAGGACACCATTAAGTACACCGACAATTTTGTACTAGGAGTACCAGAAGGAAAAAAGAATAAGGAGTAGAAAAAAAATTTCAAAGAATTCTGACTGAAAACTTCACAAAGTCAAGAACAAGTTAGTCTGCACATTCTAGAAGCTCAATAAACTCTTAGGAGTAAACACAAATCCACATCTAGACACATCATAAAAGTGCTGAAAAGCCAATGGCAAGGAAACAAATCTTGAAAGCAGCAAGATGATTTATCATTAACAAGAGAATACCAATAAGATTAGCAAGGGGCTTATCAGAAACAATGGAAACTAGAAGGTAGTGGGGTGACAGTCACTGCTGAAAGGAAGACAAACAACTATCAAAGACTTTATATCCAGCAAAACCAACATTTCAAAAATGAAAGCAAAATAAACATTCATAGAAAACAATTCTTTGCTAACAAATTCATCTTACAAAAAATAACAAGTATTCTTTAAGCTGAAAAAAATCAATCCCGGACAATTCTAATTCACATGAGAAAATAAAGTGCACCAAAGAGGTAATAGGTGATTATAAAAGACAGTATAAATGCATCTTTCTGCCTTCTTATATTAACTGATTTTAAAAGCAAATGTATTAAATAACAGATACATAGCTAACTGATTAGCCTGTAACACATTGAATTGTATATATTTGACAAAAAAACAGCAGAAAGAAGGCAGATAGGGATAAAGGTATACTGGAGTAAGGAAATGATACCAGATGACAACCAGAATCCACAGTAACAAATGAACTAAAAATGGCAAAGAAAGATGTTAATATAACAAACTCTGTAAATATATACTTGCTCATCTTTCTTCAGCTTATATAAATGAAGAAATATAAAGTAATAATTGTAACAATGGACCATTGAATTTCAAAACCACGTAGATATAATATGCACAATAATAGAACAAAACAGGGAAAAAGAATACAGCCATGAGAGTAATGTTTCTATATCTCACTGGAATTAAGGTAGCAAAAATCTACAGTAAATGTTAGTATGTATATTGTAGCCCCTAGAACAACCACTAAGAATATAACTCAAAATTCAAGTGAGATGCCTCTAACCCTCACTTGGGTAAGGCAAAGACATAAAGTGTAACCATAATGTTTGTACCCTCATAATACCCTGAAATTAAAAAAAAAAAAAAAATTCAAGTGAGAATATAATTTAAGGAACTAAAACATCACAATTAAAAATATTCACTTAATGCCAAAGAAAGCAGTAAGGATAAATAAACAAAGGAGACATAAGAAAAAAAATGTAAACTGGCAGACATGAACCCAACTCTATAATACATTAAACATGAATGGATTAGACAATCCAATCAAAGACAGAGATGGTCAAATAGAATTTTTAAAAATCCAAATATACGCTGCATACAGTAGAAAACTACAACTCAAAGACACAAATATGTTGAATTTAAAAGGTTGGAAAAGGATGCATCATGTAAATAGCAACCATAAGCAAGCTGAAATAGTTATGCTAATAAGAATAGATACTTTAAAATAGAAATGTTAGAGATAAATAAGGACATCTTATAATGAAAAGGGTACATCCATCAGAAAGATACAAGAATTAAACATATTCACCTAAAACAGAGCCCCAACATACATGAAGTAAAAACAGACACAGCTGAAAGAAACAATCCAATAATAGAAACATCAATACTCCACTTTTAATAATGGACAGAACTAGGAAAAGACTTGAAAAGCACTATAAACCAAACAAACCTAATACCTATCGAACACATGACCCACCCGACCATTAGAATACATATTCTCCTCACATATGTATGTAACATTCTCCAGGACAGACCATATACTAGGCCATAAAACAAGATTTAAATTTTAAAGGATTGAAACCGTACTAAGTATATTCTCTAATTATCATAGAATGAAATTGTGGGGAGTTAGCTAGGCTCCCAGC